CCGCTCTTGCGTTTGTTCAGGAATATTAGCCAGTGACTCAGCAGAATCAGCCTGCAAAAATTACTCTTTCAGCAGCCGGTACTACTGCGTCGTGCATTTTGGTCATTTCAGAATTGGCTCCAACTGCAACCCTTCGCATGAACCGGAGAGAACCGCAGGAGCACAGTTAAAATCTTGCAGGCACAATGACCCAAGCTAAGTTTTCCAATGCAGCCCTGAGGGCCAGGCTTTTTCTTCTCCAAGGGGCTGTTGGGGAACATTTAAAAAAAACAAAACCAGAAACCCACAAGCTTCCCACATGGCTAAGCAATGATTGAGCAGACATTGTCTTCCAACAGGAATACAGTACAGGTCATAAATGCTGGGTCTCTTTTCAGCAGTCTGCACAATATAAAATAAAGCAAAGGTAATCTATATGTTCACTTGAAATAATATGCATTCTTGTTATTACCCTACGGCTCAATTAAAACTGGAATTGACAATGAGGAAACATACTGGGCTGACAGGAAATTTGGATGCGACTTAGCTCGTCAGCTCCAGCCCGTCTCTCAGTAAGAGGGACAATTCCTCCTGGAATTGTCCCAAAGCACCAAATCCTTAGAAAATACCTGCTGCTCTGGTCAGATTCAGCTCATCTGGTGAAAGAAAGCAGAGAAGAGTAAGTAGCAGCAGGCTGAACCGTATTACTTGAATAATGGCTTTCCTCATCCTGCCTGAATAGATCAAAAGGCACATATAGCTGGGATGTTTATTTTTACATCCAACACACAGGATTTCTGCTTTGCTCACAGCTGACTGCTATACTCTTACATTGGTCTTTTTACTCTTCAGAGTTGACAGTAAGAAAATAATCCACACCAAGAACTTTATCATCAAACAGTGATCACAGGTGAAGGCAGACTGAGTATTCCAAACAGGAATTAAAACAAGTCTGGCATTGCAGCAGATTAAATTATTTCCCTGCAAATTAACTCACTATGTTTAGGGCTTTGCCTGAACAGTCCAGCACCAGACAATTTAGCTAAAACACACTGCAGTTAGAGCATTTTTCAGGTTTCAACCTCTTAATCCACTCAGGGTTTTCTAGGACTCCTCACTTTCCCACTGCCACTCTAATTAGATTAGGGTCAAGACTCTACTGAAATCCCTGGATGCTTCGAGCTTTGAGGTGAGCTAGCTTAGACCTTTAGCCTTCTAAAATTATCAACACCAATTCATGTCAGTGACCCACCATTCAAGTTAAATTTCGCTCCACGCTCATTTTATGCCGATAGGCAGGCCAGGAGGAGAGAAACGACAACTTTGCTGCCAACTCACCAGCACCTCACGTGCTCTGTCACTTCCTTGTCCCAAGCAGAACTCAAGCTCCCGAGGAATAAATCAACACGGGGCTTGAAGGTCAGGCAGCAAAGCCAGTGCCAGTGACTGGATGTGCTGGAAATGGGCTAGCAGGCAGCAGGAGGCGGCACGGAGTAAAAGCCGCTTACACCAGGAGAGAACTGAAAACCACTTGACCTGCCCATGAACCAATAAGGAAAAGACGAATTCCCGCAGCCCGGTCCCCTTCACCCTGCCAAGCGTAAGCTGTTTAGCAGCCCCGCGTCACGCCGAGAGTAAACCTTCTTCAGGAAACCAGCAGAGACCACCACTGCCACAGAAAATCCAGGCTCGTGGTTGGGGTTTGGCTTCCAGACAAGAAGCGCCTGGCAGGCAGCCCTCAAAGAATGAATGCACCTTTTCAACAGGGCGTCACGAACGCCAGCACCGGGAACCAGGGACACGATGCCCCTTTGGGGAAACGACCGCAGCCAGAGCCGACGTGGACCACAATTCACCGTTCAGAGTCACCGAGCCAGATGCTGCCCAAAGAGGAGCTGAGAGCAGCAAAGGAACGAGGACGGTGACCAGAATTCCACTTTTTGCTGGTTTGGCTCATTTTTAACTGTGTAAAGGTATATTCACGTATAAAGGTGTAAGCTCCTAGAAACTCAGCTGGCAGGAGGCAAAGCTGAAGCAGGTACACAGCAGTATCGGGACAAGGATTTGTGACCCATCAGCTGATTTCTCTACCCACGTGCTGCAGGACAGCTGTGTTTATCTGCTCCCGGAGAAATGCAGGACAAACATCACTGCTACCAGCATCGTGGTAGGGCAGAACATGACAGCTGAAGCTCGGACATGTTTAAAGGAGATATTTCTGAGGACAGCCCTCCAGAGCGCTTTACACCTCCACCCCATCCTCCCAGACAAAAGCGTTACTGGAGCTGCACATTTCTGTATCTTGGAGTGTGACAAAGGCTGCTGTTCACCCCTTCCATACCCTCCTACTCTTTATTTTGCTTAAGTACAGCTTTCCACTTTGCAGCCACATACATGAGACATCAATGCCATCTGCAGAATGAACAAACCAGAGAACAAGACATTACACAGTAGCGCTGCTTAAACACATAAGTCTTTGTCTTGTAGACAGTGACACTCATTTACAGGAGATTCCTGCAGATAAATCCATCCAAGTTTCTCTTTCAAAGGCTGCACTGTCAATCCACACTAATTAATTTTCACAGTATGCTAACAGTGAATTCCAACTCTCCAAACCATTACTTATGAACTTTAACATTTATAAACTTCGTCTCTCAATTTCTTCTAGGTTCCACACAATCCTGAACACTTGCTCTGTTCTACAGCAGGTCAGGATGATTAGTGATATCGAGACACAAAAGACAAAAAACATTTCCACAGGGCAGAAGCATGCGTACTGCTGAGAGCTCGGCCACACCGTGGCTTGTACTGACGAAGTTCCCCGCTTGGTGCAGGACCTTCGCTCCTACTTGCCACGAATCCTTCTCCAATTGTCTTGTAACGTTCCTCAACACCAGCTACCTCCTACGGCCCAAGACGTGCTTACTGGTCCCACTCAGGATCATTCCAATTAAATTCCACCCCCCAAACTTTTCCTCCCGATCAGATTCCCTGCTTTCCCTATGCTACATTAACTCCTTGCCTCGCATGTCAGGGCTCTTCAGCACCTGCCCCCCAGCCTACCTGTGTCTTGTCACCTTACCACAAAGGCAAATCCTGTTTCTGTTGCACCTGCAATACCAGTAACCTACTTGCTCCCATCAGAAAAAGAATCCTCACTCAGGAAATCCAGAGAGGTATTTTTCTCACTCTTCAAATTCCCCTTTTGCTGCAACACATCCATGCCAATAGCTCAGAGCAAGTGCTGGGTGAAGACAACTGCCGCCACCTGCAAAAAACTGCACAAACTCATCTGGGAGAGGGCATCCCATCGTTTGTTGTTCCACCCCACTCCTCCCACACGCTGCTCGTCTCTCCCAGCTACCTGATGGTGGTTTTTACACAGCGATCTCTGTACGGCATGGACAATGATTTGCCTGTACACCAGGCTCAAAAACCAAATACCCACATTATTAGCAAGGAAGGCTTTAGAAGCCATACAACTTGGTTTTGGATGAATAATACTGGAATAAAAGAAACCGATCAGACTGAAGATACCATTACAGAGAACAGAGGAGACAGTACAGTCAAAAGAAAAAAGAGAGTCAGACTTTTTTTCTATTCATTTTATTTCACAAGTGAGCTAGAAGCAGTTTCCTGTGCCAGAGCTCCTCTCCCCAGACTTTTTATTGCCATTAAACGTTGACAGTACTACACAGTTTCTTGCAGTGTAAGAATTTTGTTCGTGTTAATAATTCAAGCTGTCACCTGCAATTGCCTTCACCATTTGCCATCTAGCATCTCAGCTTAAAGCACCGAGGAACACGACTTTACTTCAAGATGCTGAACTGCGACAACTGAGGTACGATCACACGCACATCATCGCGCTACTCCTGCGCTGGGGAAGGCAAACTTAAAAGGTACGTATGTTGTGTGCGTGTGGAAGGGCAGCACAGGGAGAGGGCAGAGCTGCCTATCGAGATCCCCAAAGTCTGATCTGTTTGATCTTTGCCAACAGGATCATCCTGCCAGGTGCTGAACATCTGGCTCTTATTGACGAGGAACAGGACAGTCTGCTCAAGCGTAAGCGGAGCGGAGGAACTAACTTTTTTTAAAATGGAACGCTTTAGAGAGAGGTAGAATCCTACTCTACGCACTAGCCTATACTTACCATTTATTCTCATTAAGGACTTCAGTCCTACAGTTCTTCCATCTACAAAACAGGCAACCAGCAAATCAATTTCACATTTTAAAAACCAAAACCTAATAATATTTAGCATAAACTGCTGCCGATGCAGACCTTTGATCTGCTTCAGTTTGTCTGTGGCTTTATAAGTGACCCAATCCGAGCTCATGATTTATGAGCGTACCAGCAAAATCAGCTACTGGCTGCAAATAACAATACACAACGCAGACTCCAAGCTTACAAACTGAAAGAAGGCTTACCGAAGCAGCAGCTCTTTTGGAAGTTTTTTGTTGATCACAGCTTCATCATTGTTTGAGAACATCTGTAAACAAAAACAATTTAAACATTTTAGCCATATATTTTCATTAAGGAAACAAAACCTACTTTACTCTAGGAAAGAAGCTGCTGGTTAACAAGGCCATTTCAAGAGAGACATCTGGCCCAATAAATTCTCAAAAGACAAACTTTGTGCTCAAGCTTTCAAACTCCTCGATTGGACCCTAGTTGGATAGACTATTACATCCAATATAGTTTAAAAAATGGTCCAAGACTGCTTTGTGGCTTGATGGATTTAATATAAACTGAGATTTTTAATTTATCTATCAAAGTAAATGATAATTAGGGGGTACTTGTGGGCTGCCACTGACTATAGGAAGGTACCACCTACAGCATTACTACGGGCTTCCATCTGTGTCACAGTTGTGTGAAGGTACACTAAAGCAGAGGCACTTTAAAATCGTAAAGCGTAACTACACATCAAACAAGCATATGGCAAACGGGCTGGAGGGAAGGGCTATGGTAAGAATGATCAAGCAGCCCTAACGTCCAGCAAATGGAGGTTAAAGATGCAGGCGTAGCAGGACTGGTTTCCGTAACAGAAAAGGGCGCAGAGTGCCAGTGGACAGGAGCCTAAAAAAAAAAAAGTATTACAGTGCCCGTATCCTTCTCACAGCAAATTGTTTGAGAGCAGCCCTTAGGAGCTTAGGCGCAAACAGTATTTTTTTTATAAATCACGAAGCATGGTTTAAAGGGAGACGTGATCTTCAGTGCTGCATCAGGAGGAGGGATGATTCTGGGAAAACACTGTGCTCTTCCAAGGCAACGAAGCCAGAGCTGTTTGTCGCATCCCATAAGCTTTTTCATGCAAAGCATTATCATAGTGGCCAACAATTTACAAATCTGAAATGGACTTTTGGACCTGCTAAAATAATCCCACTAGCTGTAAGAGTGAGAGAAGCTTCTCTTTCCTAAGGAGGCCTAAGGAAAACAGACGGCAAAGCCTCATGTGCTTCTTGAGGAATATTTGCATATATTTAAAAGACTTCGTATTGTCTTGCCATGGTGAAAAAACAAACAAACAAACAACCTCCACACACTTATGCCTGTGGGAGGAATGATTAGAGTGATCTGTGAACTCAGACTGCTGAGCAGCGATGCCTCATTCCATTTAGAAGCATGCTTTCAGCATTTCCAAAAGCAAAGGAGGGAACAAGGAGAATGAGCTTTAATTTCATTAATAAATTTTTTCTTTAATCTCCTGGAACAACTGAGAGCTGATCTTCCTGAGCTACATACCTGATAAAAACTGCTGCTGAAATTACAGTCCGAAAAATCAACCGATTCTTATCGGTTGATTAAGTGGTCTGAATCAATTGAGTTGTATGTATGCAAAAGCAAATAAAACCAGCATCAGCTAGGTCACTTAAGTGGCAGAGGATCAGATTAAGAGTTAAAAAAGGAAAGTAAGGTCTTAGTGGCTTATGAAGCTGTACGCTAGGCCTCGCTGACAGACAACAGCTCCTCCAAGCAGCAAATATTCTGTACCCGAGCATCAATCCAGCCCCATCACCCATCAAAGAAGCCATCATAGCTTAACATGAAAAGCTAACGTGCTGCCGCCAAGTAGCTTTTCAATACGCTCCAACCAGTGATAACAGACAGCAGAATAATGCCATCGTTACAAGAGAACACCGAAAACAACGCTTCTACAGGCAAAGTTAAAAGCTGTGTTTCTAAATCACAGTTTGCTTTTTAATTATCTCAAGATACTGAAGCACGATGCTGAAGTGGGACACGAACTCTCCAGCATTCTTTCCCAAAATGTCACACAGAAGAAAAGTGTTGTTTTCCCCCCCACAGATGCTTTTATCACTTCCCACCAGAAGATATCACAAGTTAGCAAGTCCTAAACGGTCCACTAGACAGGCAACTACTCAGCCCATTTTGCAGATAATTAAAATGGAAGTTTTGCCATTTCCCCAGCTAACACAAATTCTGTCAAGTCTGTTCCCTCAGAGGCTGGGGCAGAAGAGCGGCTCCTCAAGTCGAGGACCACGTTCAGACCGGTCACGAACGCTACCTGACGGCTGGCAGGTGACTGCAGTGCCTCAGCGCGTGCGGGCAGACGCTGGCGAGGCTGCGAAAGGCGCTAACGCACGGGTGCGTTCTGGGACTGGATCATCTAATTAGGTGGCTTAGCTGAGCAGTTGGAAAATTAAGGAAATTCTGGAGAAAGCTCTAATGAAGGGGAAATGCAGAGGAATTATTCATGGGAAAATGAGACTGTGATTTTTCTGTCCCCCAGTTACATGAACAATAGTAAACAGGCAGGTCTGTCCCCTTTCCCATTGTTGTCCAGGCCAGAATTTTACATCTGAATCAGCACCTTCCACCCCCCTCACAAAAAAAGGGTGAGAGAAATTAAAGGAGCAAATCAGATAGCAGTAGGAGACTTCCGAAAAGGAACCAGACTAGAAGAGAACAAGCAAGGGGCAGGAAGTATTAAAATAGAGATTCCAGAAGCAGCCAGCCAGCCTTTTCTGTCTCATCTGTATTGGCAACAAGGCTTTGTCTGAATTCAAATTTTCTGTGAGAACGCAGGCAATAGTCACTGCCTGTTGTTAATTGCGACTGTACATCAAGGACACTGACAAACAGCTTTGTGCAAAACACGGGTAACTTCTTGACTTCTGCCCATTACATTGCTCAGTAGAAAAAGCTTACCTTGATTCCAGTGTAGATCAAAGCCTTAAAATTGTTCTTCCGAGGAAGCTATCCTTTGACAAGTACCATACTAAAGAAACGCTTGGGTTTTGTCTTACTAAAAAAGTCCTTGGACTTAAACATGATAGGGCCAAGGCAGGACGTGCTCCATGGGAGAACCTCAGCTCTGGAATTCCCCCTCCACTGGAAGGCTGTGAAGTGCCAGGGTACATCACCAGACCTATTTTCTCAAGCCTGCCTTCAAAACTTGGTGCTCAGATGACAGAGGCTGGGTGAAAACAGGCTGGAGTTGGGATATATGGCTAAGTCATGGCAGCATGTGTAGCTAGGTAAGTATACCAACAGGCATTTTGACTTTCTGGCAAGTCCATACGAGAATAAAACTAGTCTGAAAAAAACCCGTTGGAGGTTATTCTAGACTTCCAGGCTTTTGAAATTACTTCTAGGGATAAAAACTAAGTGACCTAAGTTTGCTTTTCCTAACACATCTCTTAACATCCTTTGATACCAGGTGTTATTCAGTAGAGTAAGTCATTCTTGACAGGATACAGAAAAAACACCTCTCTCTTGCATGTAAATTTTGCAGTCTGTATAAAACACAGAATCTTCCACAACCTTCCACAAAGCATCAAGTTTGCTGCTCTGTGAAGCCACATCCCTTACAAAGAAGAACCAGAAGGGGGAAGAGGATGAAATGCCTCTTGCTCTTCCACCCATCGAGGCGAAGGCAGGCCAGCGGTGCGCTACTCTCTTCTGAAGCGGCCTTTTCTAGCTAGAACAGAAGGGATAAATCTAGAACACACACCATGGAAGCAGATACTAGACTTCAAAACTTGTATTAAATTAGTGTAGGTTGCTATAATCTGCTACAAGGCAAAGGAAAACACGTCCTGCCAAAACACCAGAGCTGGGCAGACTTTATAAGAGAGTGCTGCATTTCCCAGTTACGTTACTATAAATCTCTTAGTGGTCTTCAGAGCAACATCCACAGACAGTGGAAGCGATGACTTCGCTGCCCCGGGGCAGCTGGAGCTACGTGATGCCACAGCACACACAGGATTTGGTCGTCGCTCAGTTAGGACGATGCAATTTTCCTACAAATACTGTATTGCCCAGCTCTTCTACCAAAGCTAGGAAATGGGCAGAACCCGCACAGTTTTCCAGGGCGTATGTCGGCTAGCAGTTTTATACTCCACACAGAAAGACATTTTACAATCCATGAGATATTTTGCAAATACAGACTTCAACAGCGCTGCACCTGGAAATACGTCCCCTGTTCCAACAAGGGCTCAAAAGGGAGAACAAACAGGATGCATCCAATTGCAGCCCCGGCGGTCAGCACCAACTTTGCAAACCCAAAGAAACGACACAACGGGGGGACTTAATCCATAAATCAATCCTTTATCTCGCAAACCAATTAAAATGTTAATACACCGTTTACGTTTACTATTCAATAAAAAGAGAACTGTTGCTATTTAGGGCGAGAGGAAATGGCCTCAAGCTGCGTCAGGGGGAGGTTTAGACTGGACATTAGGAAAAATTTCTTCACGGAAGGAGTGGTCAAGCATTGGAACAGGCTGCCCAGAGAGGTGGTGGAGTCCCCACCCCTGGAGGGATTCAAAAAACAGGCAGAGGTGGCACTTGGGGACATGGTTTAGTGGGCATGGGGGTGTTGGGTTGATGTTGGACTGATGATCTTAGAGGTCCTTTCCAACCTTAGTGATTCCTAGTTTTTACTTCCATTAAAAAATAATCCAGCCACCAAGCCAGGAAATATGAAATTATGACTCTCCCCTTAATTGGTTTAGTGGTGGACTTGGTAGTGTTAGGTTACTGGTTGGACTGGATGATCTTCAAGGTCTTTTCCAACCTAAACGGTTCTATGCTTCTATTTGGCTCCCAGTTTAGAAGAGTCTGGTGCATTCAGCATTTGACAGATGCATCCAGAAGGGCCTGGTTTGCCATATTGGGTTTTTTTTTGGGGGGGGTGGGGGTTTGTTTTGTTGGGTTTTTTGTTTGTTTTGTTTTGGTTTTGGTTTTTTTTTTTTGTTTTGTTGTTTTGTATTGGGGTTTTTTTTGGTTTTTTTTTTTAAAGAGTAGATGGCCAGAGGAGCTAGCAGCAAGGACAAGGATCACCCAACCTTCAGTCATCCACAGGAACTTGCCAGGTGCCCCCGAATTCCAGCACTCTCCCACACTAACTGAAAGCCCAGAGATTATAACCCAGAAGACAGAAAACTTCACTTCCCAGGATGTATTTATGGGCGCTGCTGTGCTTCTCTCCAGAGCACTGTCACCCAGAAGCATTCAAACCAAGCA